TTATTCAAATGATTTTATGAGCCTTATAAGAGCGGCTGCATCAGGGACATTCCTTTGAGGAGTCAAATGACACTGAGCTGAGTTACAAAGGGAGACAATAGGGAAGACACTGCTACAAAGAGCAAGAGAAGGAGGTATGATTGTCAGAAAGCAATATTGAGGGGGGAAAAAAAGGAAAAAAGATAATTGAAAAGGCTGATAAGAAAAAGAGCAAGCGAGTGTGAGGAAAAGGGTTAAACATAGAGATAAGAGAAAATGTAAGAGAGGGGAACAGTTAGAAAGAGACAGGGGGATGAAAGCTGAGCTGTGCCCTATCCCTGAGGCGATTGTGCTACAAACACACACACACACACACACACACACACACACACACACACACACACACACACACACACACACACACTATAGGCCTGGTGTGCAATCAACATACAAGGCCATCTTCCAAAAACTGTCGAGAGAGAGGATGAGGGAGAACGCTAGAGAGAAAAAGAGAGGGTTAAGTAAAAGAGATGGAGGAGGGGAACTAACTGCCATCTCTGCAGATATTCCACGTCCCCGTCGGAAACCTTCTCTGTCTCTTCATGGGCCAATACATCTGTATAGCAGCACCATTTAGACTGCACTTAAAGAGGACTGCTTTGGCCATCGATTTATCTGGGCTTTACAGCCACAGTCCATAGCTCTGCAGGGAAACGCACGCGCTTGCTCCAATGCCAGCCACAAATCTGTAATCGTTTGCTTATCACTCAACAGTCACAGCTGAGTGACTGGCGAGCTGAGTCGGCAGTCAGATCTATGGCCTTCAAACATTGTACTGCCTCTCGACGGGGCAAAGTAGGCCAAGAGACTCTTCTTCTCTTTACAAGGTTGTTGTGATTCTGCAATGGAATTATCAGTAGTCCGCTGTCAGTCGAAGGCAGTCTGTGTCATTTCCCTGAGACATGTCATTAATAATGTCCTGTCTTATGCTGCCTTCAGAGTAGTAGGCACTCTCTGGTCTCTCATGAAGCTGTAGCTGTCTGTGTGTGTTGCACTGAGCATGTCATTTACATAGTCAATTGTGTTTTCATGCAGCCAGTACAGTACACATGAGGAAGTTGTTCATTTCTAGTTGTACCGATTGTTTCCAGAGTACTGAACAGATTTTATGCTGTCTTTTTTCTTTTTTATGTGGTACACGTTGTTGAAACTGATTTTATGGAATAATGGTCCTAGCCCTACTGGTGCCTACCTGGCTGTTGCTAACATTGGGTCAGAGGACATTTAAAATGGCTCATGCTTACTACTCAATACTAATGCATTACATCAACTCTTGTACCAAAACATATTAAAAATGCATAGACAATCTTAAACTGTATCTTAAACTGTTGGCTTCACTTTCACTTTCGCTGTGATCATGATACACAGCAAATAACATACATAGCTAGTCATAGTAGCCATTATCAGCCATTATATGACTGTAGGTCCATCATTTTGAATTCACATTCTATTTATATTTTATCTGGATCTGCTCAGAAAGATTACCTCTCTACTGTTTCCTTGATATTATCTTCTTTTTTTCAACTACTGTCCAAGAGCACATAAGCATAACCAACAAAATCTAGCCTATAATGTTAGTACGCCCTTTTAACGGTGATTGACAAGTAACTGATATCCTATCAACTTTTCTAAATCACTACTTCAAAATACAAGACGACAAGCAATCGAACATCTAATTTCAAAAAGTTATGCCTTTATCCTAAAGCAGCGTTTACTATATTCCAAGCCATTAGAGAGGACTGAACATAAATAACTAAGTTATATTAAGAATTCTTTATTGAAAAGCAATGCAAACCTCTAGGGAAACATTACTTCCTACTCATAGATTAAACATTCTTTTGATGTCTACATTTTGGGCTCTGGATTCTCTCGACGAACTAGTGTTTTTCCAACATTACTGATGAACCAACCTGATTGAAAGTGAACTGTGCCTTGTACCATGGCCCATTAACTGCAACAGCCAGCTTATTTCAACAGCTTTGGGCCAACAATACGTCATGATGTGACAGGTGAATAGTATTGGAACAGTTAATAGTCATTCATTGCAATGCTTTTCTTTTATTGCCCTAAAGCTCTCTCCATCTCCAGACAAAGGTTTAATGGCCACTAATGTCCGGGTTGCATAATTATCAGAATAGCCAAAGAGCACAGAGCTCTGAGCTAATGGAAGTGGTGGAAAAGGAGGGGTTTGGGTTCTGTACAGTCAATGAAATATCTATTTGGAAGGCATAAAAACAAGGTTCATTTCTATTTCGGGAGGAAGAAGGGGCCTGAGTGGCATGACCGAACCACAGAGAAGAAAAAGTATCCTGCTGGATCTGACCAATTTCCCTGATTTTCACTTCCACAGCTAGACTATAGAAGGTTTCCACAGTTAACCAGCAATTTTTTCATTTACAAATCCCAGTGCACACGAAGACAATAGAGGCACAAAGGTGTACTAATATAATATTATTAGTTATCAAGACTCATAACTACTGTCACTTATCATCACAAGATCAAGCTAAATAAACTTTTAATTAATTAATTTATTATTTTATCAATAATTGTTTGGGATGCGGTGATTTGCCATTGCAAATTGAGGAAACCTAAGAAAACTGCAAGAAAAATCCAACGTAATTAATCTGATAGGTTTCTGTATTTTATTAGCAAATGACATTTACCTCCAGTCTGTTTCCCTTAATGTAAGTATGTCTCTGTCTAACCACTCAACGTTTTCAAACAACTGAAAGTTTTCTGCCAACGCAACAACTGCTTCAGAATTATGTGTGGGCCCAATATGGGTTTTCTAATTAATACAGAGATAAACAAATGTGGCAGCTCTGCACAGTCAAAATCACTACATAGATTTAAAAAAAGAAGAGGTTTTGTATTTTGAGTTGGCAGATTTTTTGTTGTTAGAAAAATTTAATTTTAAAAATGTACAATTCGTTTGTCAAAAGGCATTGCTAGTGTTTTTGTTGAGGTTATTCAAATGGCAGCACCACCACACAGCCACAAAACTGTCTAAAATTGATCATTTTACTCTGCTCCAATCATTATAACCAGAAGCAAAAAGTTGCAATCATTGATCCTTCACCACCATGAACTGTGCACAAGACCACATTTGGAACCAAGCCAAAATAAGCCTACAAAATAACGCAGGAAAGACAGTGAAAAGACTTCAAGTCAGACAGATGGTCTGTTTATACAAATGGAAAGTAACATGGTAACAAACTGGCTCAACAACCACTACTGTCTGAATTACTGTTAACTGTCTGCATGAAACCTAAACGATGACAATAAGATAGATGCTGATACTCCTCCCTGGACTTTACAACATCAAAACACAGGCCAAATGGCTGTCTGTAGCCAGGAGTTTTTTTAAAAGGGGGAAAAAGCTCCAGTCTTTTAGTCACAATTGTATGCCAGTGTGCGATTATGATTTCTCCTTGGAATCACAAGGCAATCAGGAAAAGGGGAGTGTGCTGTGCTGTGCTGTTGCCGATACAGCTGCTACTTTCTTGCTCATTTGGGAGTGTATGGCATTCTCTCTGAATGGTAATTATGAAGGGAACAAAAGGGGCATTTAGAGACAAAGGCGGGTTTGGAGTGAATGGGCCAGCTCCCATGCGCAGTGAGTGTTCTGACTCCAAGTGCTGTTTCAAGAGAGACGATATGAGGTAATTATGCAGGAGAACTTGCAGGGGGCAGAAAGGAAGGAGAGGAGCAGAGAGAGGGAGATAGGCTGGGGTTGGCTTAGTCTCTATAGAGAGCAGGACCAGATAGCACCATCTGCATTCTGCACAGACACTGTCCGTCTGGCTCGCTGTTGCCTTCAATAAAAGCTGGCGCCAAGACAGACATTAGGCAACAGAAACGTACAGTATAGTCAAGCACAAACTGGCCCTCACACACACACACGCTGGGATTTAAATTTCACCAGACACCAATCTCGTGGCTACAAGTTTTCACCCCAGTCTGCTGCAAGATGATCTTCACAGGATTCAATGTGAATGGGGAGCTGATGGCTCTAATTTAGAGATGTTTGCCAAACTACCACAGTGGACTAATACCCCCACATCCTGTGTGCCCCTCATGTCCCACACTGGAATACAGTCACTGAATGTACAACATATCAATGGCACTTGCTTTTTTTCATGAAAGCCACTAAGTCTTAGTGGAACTTTCTCTTTAATAAAAGCTATTCATTTTCATCAGTTCCCCACATTAGATTTAAACACGTAGATATGTAGATGAGGACACAAAATTAGCTAAGAGAGGGAAATTAAAGCAGGGGGTGCCCAAACTTTTTCCCTTGGAGGGCCAAATCTGAAACTTAATGGTGGGCAAACACCTATTTTGCTGTATTGTTAAGATGTACAATGGTAGGTAAGATCCCTTAAGTGTGTCACGCTGCCTGCAGTGCTGAGGTTATAAAAAATAATGAATAATTAAGGATCCTACACAATAAAGAGCCCTTTTACCTCGCAAAAGAAAAAAAACAGCATAAACACATAAAATTTATATTATTATCTTTTCAATTCATTTTAGTTATTTTTCCACTAGAAATAACTGGTGGGCAAACCTTATGGCGGCCCCACTTTGGACAGCCCTGATTTAAAGGGTCACAGATCAGTGTAGACCAAAGGAGGAGTAGATCCTTATTATATTGTTATATTGCAAAATGAGGGACTCAACACAGCGATTTGTTGACAATAATAAAATCTACTGGTATTAAGAACTTGCCACAGCTTTTGCTACAATTTGTACAAGTGCTGTTTTAGCACAGTGTTCGATCGCTCTTGCTGCACTCTTACTAATATGAGCCCATAGAGTGTGTAGCCAGCCCCATCAGTCAGAAGCCGTGAAATAAACCTGTGAAGCTCCAAAATTACACCACAGAAATAAATCCCAGTAAAAATTGACTGCGTATCAGCTGGATATTTAAAAAAACTATAACTGGTCAAAGATCATCTTACCTCTCTGATCTTGTCGCGTTTCTCTTTGACGTCAGGCTCTGGTGGCTCGCCATCACTGACACTCACCACTTTGGGCATGGGGACAGGTGGCAAGGGTTTAGGCCCTGGATCCTTCTTTTTCAGGTCCTCCATTACTTTGTTTTTCTCTGTCTGAATCTCAGCCTGAAGCTCCTCACGTGACTTCCTCAGCTTCTCCTTTGCCTCCTGCAATGCTCTCTCATGGTCTGCCCGAATCTTGTCCCGCAGGCTCTCCTCCTCCTCCCTGTAGGAGGCAAGAAAAAAGCAGGAGGTAAGTCTTTTTATATTCTTTATTCCGTGTTTGGTCACAAAAGATCAGAAACACTTGGGGTAGAAAGGTGTGCAGAGGGGTTTCTTCTGGAAATTAATTAAAGCTTAACAAACAATGACCATGTGGGAAATAGATTAGAGTTAGAGATGAAAACAAGCAAACGTTATGTGTTTTACTGTTTGAAATAGCACGTCTGCCCATTCATCCCCTGAAGGTCTATAAGGTTTTATCTATTAACGAATATGAAGATGAAGATATGAAGATGTTAGTAGAGGTAGCCACCAAAAGACCAGGTTTAGAAGCCTCTGCAATAAACAGCTACAGCAAACCAGACTACAACTCACCCACCTCTAATTCAGATCATTATGGGAAAGGCAAAACCATCAGTCTCTAATGGGAAACCAACCCCCCACCCCACTACTCTGCAGTTACATGAGCTCCAGGAAATAGGACAGGTGTAGAGCAACACAACGAGGAGGTCGGCAGTGCCAGAAAGAGAAACATCATCTTTGGTTTCACGTGGTGGAACAAGCCCTAAGGTGTTGACACAACTCTACCCCATGAGGATGTGGGTCAGTAATGAAAAACAAACACAGCGGGATGCTGCTGAAGCTAAGGTGACAGGAGGACAATGACACTGATAGTGTCTTCTGCTGTTTGTGACGAAAATGTTTTAAATCGTCTTTGAATCTCGCTTGGCTGTTATACATATACAGCCAGATACAGCCAGATAAAACAGTGTTCGCTTTGCTCCAGGTTGATGAGTGGCAGCTTACTGTAGGGCAGCTTTTTGGGATACATCACTAAATGTCTGTTATATGAGGACACAGCCATTAGATGACAAATGTTTTGAATCATCATTACATGTATAGGTCTTACCCTTTATATTATCACATCATATTCAGGAGATGGGTGCAGTGTAGGAGGAAGGATGAATTTAAACATGGATTATATTTGATCAAAAGAGAAGCTCTTTTACATTTGAAATTATAATTTTGGTCTTGGCAGTAAACTGTGGAAATTGCAGCTTTGTTTAAGCTTTAAATACATTTTAAATCAATGTGAATATTTTTGCTCCTTTGTGCGTTACCCTATTTGATGTCTTGCACTAGCCAAGTACTTAATTACCAAACATCAGCATGATGTGAACAGAATAGGGAAGAAATGAACTACAAATAAGGGGACACAAACAGAAGATTAATTGCCTTTGACACTTGAGTCAGTCCCTAATGTTTTCATCAACCCTGTTGTATTGCCAAAGTCAGTTCCAAAATTACTTCTACGGTGAAATATCAAGGATCAATAAATCTGTGTGTGACAGTCTGTGCCACCGTTCCCCTTAAAAGTGTTAAAACTGTTACAGACCGGAGTTGCCGAATTTTTTTAAATAACTGTGTCATAGCAAAGATGTGAGTCTGTTTATTAATGAACTTCCATGTGATAAACGCAGGAAATGTGGGAGGAACTGACAACCTGCTGTGATCTGTGTGGACTCAGCTGCAACCCTCCACACAGCTACACATCTCTGAGAGAATGACAAAACAATACTGAGAATGTGTGTGTGTATACATGCCAGTGCCTTTGAGATGCCTGAGTATGTGAACCTCTTCCAAGAGAACAGCAGGTAGGAGTTGTTAGGACTAAGAAAGCAATATAATCCAATTTGAAAAATAATAAATATATGGCTTTGTAGGTGCTTATTTCTTTTAATATTGGTTAATGTTTTCTGGACTGGCATGTAGACAGAAGTAATAACTACCTATTGCAGTTAAACGATGCTGGTGTATGTAAGAGAACAATTAATTGAAATATTATCAATCGTGCAATATGCAAACCGCAGAAGCTGCGATTTGTGAATTTGTGATTTCTGAAGAGGCCCTGGCCTTCGAATCTTCTCCAGATTTAAGAAAACATTTTTGTTTGATAAAAGACCACAAAACATTTTACATCATCATGATTTTAATACTTATGTCAGTGATCAATTTAAATTTGTGATGCAAAAAATCATCATTTGAATCGTATCACAATATCTGTCACTATATTGTGCAGCCCTAAAAACAATGTGTGGTGTGCACTTTTTGGTTAAGTATAGTGTCTGTGGAGCACAAAGAGACTGCCCAAACTGTGTTGTTCACCTATCAACTCTTACCACACGTGTCTATCATTCTACTCTTAGCCTGTGTGGATTCTTGCTTTTTCCAGTGCAGCGACAACTAAAAGTCAGGATTTATATATTTTTACATTTTACATCCATATACAGTATGTGACTAAAATGACTACTGATAAAAGAAAAAAGGTAGGAAAGAAGAAAGAAAGAGTGAGGTATGAGTCAGCCTACATTAGGAGCAGATGTCTTTACTGTAGACCTAGTTGATAAGACTATATGGTACAACCTCAGAGAGAGACAAATCACTTACAGGCACATGGAGCACATGATTTAATAGACCTGCCACATTCACATGGCTGTAAAGGGAGTTTATCAACTAAAAGTAAAGGCCTTCATGCATGAAAGCTGTTGTGGATAACAGATGATACTAAGAATCAGTACTGTCTCTCTGGTAACACTACTATAATTGGAGTAAAACTTGTCCGTACAATTTGATACTAGCTGAGAAATGTATAATCAAAGTAAAATAGACAAGCAAAAAATGTGTATATGGGGAATTTGTAACTCTGAACATGGCTGCACGATACACAATGCAATGTTGATCTACTTCAAGCAGGCAAACAGTGAAACAAACACATTCATTCTTCCAAAGAAGGTGCATGGTAAGTCACCAAACTACTGAACAGGCCCAGGTGAGGAAAAAAAAAAACCTCACTGTACCTCTGAAAACAAGTCACTTGGCTGTGCTCCTGCCAAGCAGCAAAGCATCCGCAATGTATAAAGGAGTGAAGATTATGTGGGACAAAGAATGGGCTAGAAGAGGATAAGAGGTGGAAAAGACTATGTACGATCAGCATGTCTCAACCATCCATTACACTGCTCGTCCTGTTCAGGTTCAATTGGGGCTATGCCATTTCCTAGCATGCACTAATGAAGAAATATGTAAAAGATACGTAGAAGAATACCAAGGATATAGAATGTGAAAGAAAGGGATGAGATAAAGAACGGAGACTGTGATGCAAAGCCGATGAGATGGAGAAATGAATGTGCAAGACAAAAAGGAAAGAGACAGACGTTTTATACTAATTATCCTTCACACGACAGAATGTGCATCCATTTTATAATTCTAGCATGACACTGAATGTGGGGCCAACAGAGACCAAAATAAACAGCTTCAGAGTTACGCAACATTGCCCTGGAACCAACTCATAAATATTCAAATCACAACTCAGCGTGTCTGACTTTAATTGATAGAAAACATATTTTGCAACACCAAGATGGAAATGACTGTGTATATGCTGGTATTAGTGAAAGCATGCATTTGTAAGAATGTTTCAAATGTGCTGTGTTTACTTTGTGGGGATTTCATGTTTGTGTGTAATACGTGTGTATTGTACTTCCCAGTTAGTAATGCAGCTGGGTGTGAGAATGTGAGTGTGTGTGTGTGTGGGTCTAATACATCTTTCCACTCTGTGTTGAATGTGTGTATGCACCCATATTTGTGTCTTCTATTACGAGGTCTCTGATGAGGTTTTTGTGTGCTAGTGACTGCAGTCTTACAAATTGTGTGCGTGTGTGTGTGTGCTTACACCCAGGGGGTATCACGCCCACACTGTATGCCATCCTCTGTGCCTCTGTGAGTGACTGTGCCCTCAGCAACGTGCATTTAAATGTGATATTTAGATGATGCTGATGTTGGCTGACTGAATAATGTCTGTGTTCACATATAAGTGTGTTTATGAGACGTGAGAGAGCATGACAAAAGAAAATGAGGAGGTTAAGCTGACACAATCATCTCTAATGGGTGCTGATTCTGCTCCATGTCAGAATATATACATGTTGCCATGGAAACAAACCATCATCATAGAAATTTCACAAATGTGCTGTTTTTAATACAGAAATTTCTAATCCTATACAAACAGCTGTTATCATACTCACTCTAGCATCGCCACGGATTCCCTTTGAGTCTCATACAGGTCCAGCATGCAATTAAGAGCACATCAGCAGCAGTCTGACTCAATTACCACGACAAAAACACAGCACCACACCTAACTTCTCATGTTCCCCGCTCCACATCCCCAAAATTGAACTGAACCAAGGAGAGCCCCACCTCCCTAAGTAGTTGTTTCAGTCATGTCAGACCTCCACTTCCTCATTTTATCAGCCTTCATGCCTGTCACTGGAATTTCTTCTTCAGTGGAATCATGAAATCTGCTGCTCAGCAAAAGCTGGCTCTTTCCATGGCAACCGGAGAGAAGCAGCAGTTGTCCGACAGGCCTAGTGGGGTATCTAAGAGGTTTTTTTAAGCTATGGAGAGCAGCACAGGCTAGATGCCATGTAACCATGGCAACACACAGACACACACACACACACACACACACACACACACACACACACACACACACACACACACACACACACGGCAGGGTCATAGACAGCAAGTGAAGTCATTTATGCAATAAAATAAGACTGCTGGTGACTGCATTTAAATGTAGTAGTACTCCAACTGCAGGGGGAAACATGGAGACTGTCATTCAGACAAGGTCTGACTTATTACTGAAGTATTTTAAGCACATCCATTTTTGCTTTGGTATCAGATTATGCACAGAAAATGTGAATTGTTCTAATTAGCGGATATCATATCCAAATGGGGCCATACCCACTAGCAAATTTATGCTGTAGGGATGATGGAAACCCTCTCAGCTGGAGCGCCATTATCTCCTAGCCTCTCGGCTACCTACAGTGGCTGTAACTCATTTCACACAGAGCAGACATTTTACACCTTTCACAATGGTGCGCAAGTGTGACCCACTCCACTCAAATTCATGTTAAACCCACGTTGGATCCCATTCATATTCATTCATAG